CTTTTCAAACTAACAGTTGAACTTGTCGCTGAATCACAGCTGAAGTAGTGAGGAGCGTATATTAAAGATGTCAAGAGACAAAAAAAAAAAAAGCGCGGCGATGCCCTCCACACAGGGCAGATCAATCTAAAACGCTGGGAGAAAAAGCAATCTAGTTTCACCCTGCACCGTTTAATGATTTAGCCTACAAACTGATAAAATGTGTCAGTGTATTAAAACTTGTATGAGAGCACTAAAAAAAAAAAAGCCCGACCTAAACTGTTATGTGCTATCAGCAAGATCAGTGCCTCCCTCTCCTGCTCGTCTCTCAGTGCAACAGACAAAGCAGCCATTGATTTCAGATTTTCAGAGAATCACTTAACATGTTCCCATCTTCAAGTCTGAATGTGGGATGTTTGGTAACGGAGTTCACTAACTTATACTTTGTCTTGTATTTTAGCCGAAGCTTCTCATTAATGGCTAACAGGAACAGGTGCACAGGTGAATAGCAGAGATGAGGGAAGCGACATGTCTTCATATGTGGCATCGGTAATCCATCTCATGCAGAGACGTTTCTCAATGCCTCTTAAACCTTTTGTGTCTCTTTTTAGAGAACCTCGCTGTGCAATCAAATGAGAATGGGCAAAATTGAATAAGGGCCAGCTCGTTCTGGAGGTGTGGAGATAGGTTCCTGGGGATCCCTTGCAGAACACACAGTCGGGTGTGCAATAACATCAGCCGGAGAGAAATTACAGAGGCATTAAATGCATACGACAAAGGGCTGCACATCTAAGTGTTAGCACAAGTGAAAGCAGTCTGTACTTTAATTTTTAAACAGCATCCTACAGCTCCTTTACAGCATTTTTAATCTATGGCTTCAATTCTGAATTTGAATTCCGAGCAAGACGGATCATGTTTAAGCATGTGCTACAGGGGAGGGGGACCAGCTGACCTCAATACATGTTATTATCATGCCACAGTTTCTCTCCACAAAGCCTGTCATATCCCTGTGGGTGTACTCTTCTACCAGCTCGGTCACACAGCAAATGGTGAGTGCAGCAGATTCAACGAGCTGCGGTCACAAGTGTTCATGCTTGAGCAGACAAAGGAAAATGAGTGGCACCTGAAGAAACCCCCAGACGTCAACAACAGGAGATAATATAGTTGTCGCTGGGGTTTCTACAATCTGCTCTGTTGTCGTCAAACTAAAACTCAGACAAAATGAATCAATCCTCTTCAATTGCCCTTGTTGCTTTTGCACAGTTGCCATGGAGGGCTTGAATGTTTCAACTGCTTTAAGGCAAGGTGTCACTACAGGTGTACACGTCCATTTCAGAGGCTGCAGTGTGGGGTGATGTTCATGCTATATTGTAAAAGTGAAAATGGGATATGCAAATAAGTTAGAAACATATGTTTATTATGTTCTTTCTTTGTGCAGACATAACTTTAGTATGCTCTTAAATGATTGCTATAATGTTGGTTACAAGTGTTTACAGTAATGTTAATATCCTGTTATCAGGTATGCCACCTCGTGGGCGCTGTTCAGGCAGAAGTGAGCTGGGCAGTAAGAGAAAAGGGGAAGAGTAGAAGAGGTTGTTGAATGTACCGTATGTCGGAGAAGCTGACTAAAAGTTATGAGAAAGACCCAGAACGTGTTTGGACTGATTTATTCCTTCACATACACCCACGTCGCTTACACTTTTGTACTGTCACCACGTTGTCCTTAAGTGACCATTACACTGGCTGAAAACAGCACCTCTCCTTAGTGTCTAAAAATAAGTTTATTGTCGTAACAACCGCCATGCAGGACGATAAATTGAATGCTGGGATGTTGCATTAGATTGGAAAAGTTGTCAGCTCTAGGTGATCAAAATGTCAACAGAGTGAATAACAGTTGCGCTCGTCTTTTTGTATACCCTATAATTTGTAGTCAGTTCATTTTGGTATAACTCCACTTCCTATAAAACTAATAATTAGTATACAAGACTATGCAACAAGTGTCTTTAGCCTCCCCCCGCCCACATTATAACGGTTTAAAAACATGTGATTTTTGTGTATTAAATTATTAGTTGTGTTTTGGATACAAGCTGCTATATGACTGCACTTTTCTGTACATACAAACAGCTGAGGCTGTACTCAGACACAGCAGTGCAAATAAAAGCATGCTATGGTACTCATATCAACGATGCTAACTTGCTAAGATTGATCAAAAGGTACTGAAGGTTCAGCAAATAAGTGTGCGTGATATCATGCTAATTTTTCCCTCATTTGCATCTTTAAAAAATGCAGCTGGAATGTACATTTTGTTGTGTGTGCAGGTATTGGACAAATACGTTTTTTTTCCAGATGCATGAGCTAGAAGAAAAGATAGAATTATAACAAATATCCTCTCCTGGACTTACTGTAAAACTGTTTCAAATATATACTGTTTCTGTGACATTTCACTCACATAACAGTTCTTAACTTTATGATAAATAGGCAGTATGTTTGCACGAGGGCACCAACCAATGTGATGTGGGTCCAGAGAAATTACTTTCCGAAAACATGGACCTACAAGTGGTTGGCCACCAACCACGGGAACATATTTAGAGCAAATTGCTTGTCAAGAAGATAAATGCATCAGCAATGTATAAGAGTACTGCTGTTTTTCAGTAACTTTTTCATGTTTGTTGTCCTCCACACATGCACACGTACACGCGCACGCACACGCACACGCACACACACACACACACACACACACACACACACACACACACACACACACACACACAAAGGAAGCCAATTATAGTAACTGTGTGATGAGGTGTCTCACACTCAGCCCCATGCTACCTTTGCCTCTAATCCTTTGTTATTAATTATATCTTCAACAAGCCTACACAGTTCTTGTGTGGTGTCAGCGCTGAGTATCCATGGCAACAGCCAGTTAGTCTCAACTCAGATGCACACACACACACGTACACACTCTGTTGCATGACAAAACTGTGCATCATTGCAAAGACGCTAAGATGAATAACAACTCTAAAAATGTAAATAAATCCTGACCTATCTGAGCATCAAGTTTTTAAGCCCCTCAAGCTTTTCCTTCTCAAAGTGTCCTGAACAGAAACAATCATTCATTGCCTTTACCATGGTGGCAACACTGGTGGAGGTATCTGATGCCAAATACAAACATGACATGGAGGGCAATTTAGACTAAACAAGCATGACAGTATTCAATATTGGAAATAAGTACTGTGATTAAATAATAAGTAACTTTGAGGCATTTTCCTTTGGTAGGCTACATCCAATTTATTATTTCAAACACACCCTGAAGAAGGCATGTTGGTGTACAAATATTCTAATTGCTTCTGACCCTATAAATTAAAGGCCTTTTATATTTTTTCCAAACCATCCTGAGTGCCTGGACCTGGATACCTATAGGCTACCAATGTTTTTTCTCTTTTCCTCCACTTATTATTTCTGCTCTGACTGCAAAAAGTGCCTCCTCAACAAAAGAAAAACATTAGGCCTAATTTTTATTTAACCATCATTTCAGCAATCCTAAAACTGTAATGTGTGTCAATATCGTATACCACATTTCTTCAACGGTCTGTCTTTTCCTTTTGATGCTCCAAATCATTTTAATGGGTTTTAAGATTTTTTTGTTACAGGGCTACAGTTTTAAAGTGTTGAAAATACTAGCCTACTTCAAATGTGGAAAAAGTCTAATAAAGCTTTCCATGTGTCAGATTAACCGCCTCAAGTGATGTCACATGAGTCGGAGTTAAGAAAAAACGTAGGAGTTGTCGAGATAGAAAGCAGTTAGTTTACCACACCTGTGTTACCTGCTCCTCATCTCTGCTGGAGGGCGGTCTGCCAGTCGGTCAAGGTGCATTGTGGGTGATGAAGGCACAAGGTTAAGAATGATGTCGATTAAAAATGTCTATCTTTGATTCACTTTTTGAAACCATCACAAATGCTAAACATTCTCGTGATTGGGGTTTTCATACAAGACCAATTAAGTTGTAATATAGGTCAGAAAGATATTCTTAGGCTACAAATAGCAGAGGAACTCAGTTGTTCTCCATCACTCTTTCTGACAAGCTAACACAGGCTAACAACAAACACCCAAACTCTTCCTGTAAAAACTTTAGTAGTTTTTACAGGAAGTTTTTTACGTAGTTTAGTGCTATATTTAATGCCACCTCAGAAAAATCCTTTCTTTGAGTCCAAGAGAGACAGGCCTTCAATGTTTTTAATATAAGTGGAACTGCAGGATATCTCATTAACTACCAATTAAACTGAAGTGAAAGCAGGATAATTAGCATGACAATAAGGACACCTTGTTGATATTTTGGTTCTAAAGAAAATGAGAAATGTTGGAGCTCCTCTGTGACAAAAAGGGGAACTATACCTTTAGTTATTGTAGGGTACACTGTATATTTAAAATATGTCCTTTTGGATTTCCTGTTATATTGAATGTTTTTACTTTTTTTTTTAAGTCTAATTTTGATTGATTGATTTGATTCTTTGTATTTTCCTGCCAATGTAGGAGCTCCCTCTTGTGGCTGTGTTCATCATGTGCATGTAAGCTGAGAGTGGATCTCCATCACAGCACAGGTTAGACAGACTGCGTCGGGGATAATAAGGGGAACGTTCATATTTTATCACAGGGCTGAACTGTCCTCAGACCTACATCTGAAGCTACATCCAAACTAGTTTATTTTTCCCCAAACATAAGGTAAGTAAGCTTCATTGATGTGTAGCCTACGGACATTTGCAGCTAAAAAGCACCATCTACTGTTGAGATGTAGAAGACTAGGAGTAGAAAAGAAATCATGAAATGCATACATAGGCTATACTATTTTTTTAATCTTAAATCATCTTAAAATAAAATAGTGTATTCTGACTTTCCTTACTGACAAAATAAATCAAAAGATACCTCCATGCTCCTTCAATCATTCAACTCCTCCCTTTGCATTCAATACACTATATTTACTTAACTTAATTTTGGCAGAGGCATGTTATAAATCAGACAAAAGAAAATTCAAGAATCCTTTTATTATGTTTCTGAAAAATGAATACCATTAACGCGTTCTGGTGCAGAGAAATGTTAACATGAAAACATTTACAAATAAGTGTGTGACTGTGTGACCCATGGAAGATATTAACTTATGCATGCATTCACAAATCCATAAATATATCCTTTAAAATAAATGAAGTCCTATTAAAAAAAAGTTTGAAAAAGAAACATGTAGTTATAGTGTGCTGCCTGATATCCAGAACAATGTAAAAGCATTTAAAACTTAACGACATAACTTGAATATAAAAGGTAAGAGTACAAATATACAGTATGTTTTATACAGTTTGTGCACAAAGACAGATACATATAGACAGCATCAGTGATCCCTGTAAGACAAAGGCAGCCCACTCGAGTAAACATCTTCTCAAAACAGATCATTTGAAACGTTTTTTTCGTGACAGCGAACACTAGAAACCAGGAAACAAAATGTGAAACTTTTAGTGGGGTCTGAAATTCTCTGAAGGCTCACATAACATCAGATGCATTCTCCCGCCTTGGTCAAAGTGCACCTTCACCTCACTAAGATCACGGAAGAGTTTTTTCTTTGTATAAAACTTTCAAGAAAATGTAAAAAAAGAAAGTAAACAGGTACAATTAAAGACTGGTTGAAAAAGGCACAGATAGTTTTTAAGTTTGAAATCTGCATACAAAACAGTATGAAGAGAGATAGTGAATGCCATCTACTTGAACTCTTGTTTATGAATTTGCATTCCAAAACCATCATCAAAATGTTTTCCTGTAGAAAACCCTGGAGAATATTTGTTATATATATATATATATATAAAAAAAAATAAAAAAAAATAAAATACAAAGACGTTGTAGGCCGTTTAACAATCCAACACCTAATTCCTGTAAAAAAAATTGCTGTTTTTATTGATTTGCTTTTCTGAAAACAATATTTTACAGCAGAGTGTATCCCTCTCTATGCAGACGACCGTGTAGTGCATATTCAGCATCTTAATGTTTGAGGTTATTTCTTTTTCTCCGGCTGCTCAATGAGTTTCCCTTTGTGGTACTTCTGTCCGATCCCATAGGGGACGTGTGCAGAAATGGTTCCCAGTTCCTTGGCGCCCTCGATGTGGAACATCTGGTCATCAAAGAAGATGTGAGGTTTGATTTTCTGCAGCAGGGGCCCTTTAGGAGCCCCGGCCAGAAAGAGGGCCTCGTCTATCTCCAGGCCCCAGCTGCGGAGAGTCTTCAGGACTCGAGCTCCGGAGCTGGCAGCGCTGCGGGCCGTGACCAGAAAGGTTCGGATGGGACAGTTCATGCGTTCGTTCTTTTCATAGAACTTTCTCTGGAGCTTTCCGAGAGCCTCCAGAAAACACTTCAAGGGTCCCTGGAAAAGACACACACAAAAAAAAATCAAGACACTTTTAAATGTTTACAAACTAGAAACACATGGATATATAACGTGGTGTCATCTGCAAAGAACTGAACTCAACGAGCATAAAAATCCCTTCGTCTGTTTCCTTAAATAAATGAAATGTTTAACTTTTGTTTATGAAAACACACGAGTAGTTATGGGTCTATACATCAAGTGGAGAAGCTTAAAGCCACTCAAAAACAGCTCTGAGTATGCAACTTTGTGTTCAATACTGCGCAAAAGTCTTGTGCCACAACTAGCTTTTTTTAATTTTAGCTAAGTTTCAACGACCACCTATATTCATCGGAGTAAAATAGAATAAATGGAATGAAACTGCCTTTACACATTAACAGACGCACAGAGAAAAGCACACAGGGTTGATTTTAAACATGTTTAGAGGCAGCAGAATCGGTTCTTAAACCCTGCAGAAACAGACATTTCAAAGGGACTTGTTCTTCCACATACAGGTGTTGTTGTAAAAGCTGCTTTGTGTTTTTCTTAATGCTAATTTTAAAGCAGATTCTAGAATACCAAAAAGTCTCTACACGAGGTTCCAGTTATTTCTATGAACACAGAAAACAACCTTCAGTTACCTGAGCGAGAGGTTTGTTCTCAAACTCCTTCTCGTGCTCAAAGAAAGAGTCCAGGCCGTGTTTCTTCACGATGATCTCCGACTCGTCCGAGAAGAGGACGGCGTCTCCATCAAACGCCACCCTCAGCTGAGTGTCGCTCAACTTCGTCTCCGCCTCCGTCTCGGGCATAAACATGGTGGCTGCGGCGATGCCTGAAAAGAGAGGAGGCGAGGGTAATCCATCTAAGATTTGAAATTTCTGCTTCCTCATTTTGTTTATCCGGTCTTACATGTGATACCTCACAGCTGCAGACATCCACAGCTTCCTGATTCATTAATAACGTTTTAACTGCCACTGCTCGTGTTCGATTTCGTGGGGTTGTAACAACAGACACTTTTTTAGGATACTTTTGTCTTTCATGAGCAGATTCCAAAGAAACCCAGTCAGACGTCGTCTCGCAGCTTCCAAGATATTAAAGAAACAGTTGGACTCATTTCCTGTTTCTTTCCCAAAAGGCCACGAGGCTTTATATGAAAAGAAAAGATGGAGCTTTACCTCTGGATTCCTGACATGAGTGACACTTTAGATTTAACAGGAACTTCTTTCCTATCTGGGTCTGAATATTAATTAATCCTACTCTATCCCTGCACATGTTTTTCATTCTTATTTTTCATGACTTGTTGCAGGTGATGTATTCTCTTCCCTGGAGATTTTACTGCTACTCATTAGCATTTTAAAATACGGCAATGAAAGAGTACATTTAAAAGAAAAAGGAGTTGGTTAAAAAAATTGTAATAATACATTTTCAGTGATAAACTGTCGAGCAGATAAAGGAGACAGGTCCTCATTTGTTTTTCACTTTCTGCTTGAACAAAATGACTTAAACCTCTGAATAGAATTCTTCTTTTGGTTTAATAACTGATTAGTTCTTTCATCACTACGAACATGTTTGTCTCGTGTGCATTCAGACCACAGGGAGCCCTTAAATCACACGCTGTCTTCCTGCAGCTCAGTCTTGCTGCACAGTGAGGGGTCGCATGTGACTCACAAACAAAATCAACATGCGTGTGTGTAAATATCAGTGTAGTACAAACACACACACACCCAGGGCGGCTGACAGTCACTCATGCATTGATTTAGTTATGAGACAAAAAGAGGGTTTGTGTGTGAGAGGATTATTGTTTTACTCACCTTCCTCTATGGCCTCTGTGACTTTCTCTGCGTCCTTGGAGAGGTAAAGATTGGTCATGTAGGCCTTCAGGTAGCCTATAGGACTTTTCCCTCCAGTCATACAGAATCTCTCGATGGTCAAATCTGAAAGTATAAACGCACGTTTGAGATCAGTAGAGGAAAGAGTCACATTCTAACTACCACTACGGCTTTACAGCATTAAATAATCCCTCATGTCTGGATCAGGACGCAGCTTACCATAGTGATTGATGCTGTTAATGAGGCGCACTCCAACCTGAGCATGGTTGTTTGTCATTAAGACAATGTCAAACAGCTCCTCGCTGTCTGGATAGAGCTCCCTCAGTCGAGCGTTGACAGTCATCAGCGCCTATTTTTAGAGGACAAACACCAAAATGTTGAGTCAGAGCGTTTCACACATCAAAAAGGTACCAAAACAAACTTTTAACAAGCAGTTGTAAAAAAAAAAAAGAAACCCAAGATGTTAAGAGTAAAGATTCAAGATGTGTGTTTTTTTTGGTCATATTCTTAATTATCTGTACTTTGCTTCCATCCCTCAGCCATGTAACAGAAATGAAAAACTTTTAAGTATATCTAAAACAAGCTCCTGGAAAAAAAGCCTAAAAAAAAAAAATCTACTCTAAAAACACTCGAGACAGTTTTCCAACAAAGGTAAGAAAAACAAATCTTAAAAAAGGAGCAGAATACATTTAGCAGCAGCTCAGTCATTCATTCAACTTCAACTTTATCTGTCCCCGAAGGGTGATTGGTTTTGCAGCACGGCAGAGCAGAATAGAAAAAAGACAAAAAAAAACAAAAAGACATTTACAAAGCTAACAGGGTAAAATGTAAGAGGCACTGAATATAGAAGCCTTTGAGACACAACACTGATCCTTGACTGATGCTCTTAGAATAAAGTGCTGAGTCAACATGAAATATAAACAGGTCACAGTTAAATATTCATCCCTGGAAATAAAGTTCAAAAGTGCACATTTCCAACACAGTTAAAATACTCGGGGTGGGAATCGCCAGAGGCCCCTGCATGATACGGTATCATCACGATACTGGAGTCACGATTGGATATTATTACGATTTGAAACATTTTGAGATACGCTGAGAATTGTGATACAATATATTAAGATTTAACTGTTTTTTTAACTGCATATTGTGTCCACAAAATTTAACTAAATGAAGAACTGCTTTGTCAAGTAAGAAACATTTCTCAGTCTTTTCATGTCACTCCAGTCTTTTTATTACTACACAATGAGGAGTTGAGCTCACAGACTGACCAACACTGTGATAAAAGTGAACCCCTGTAAAAGGCTGCATGCATCTCACAATCAGAGCTGTTGGTATTTCAGTCTAATCGGACTAAAACATTTTATTATTAATAAAATAAAATTATCAATACTTGCCGGCCATGAGACGAATTAGTATCGCGATACTATGCTATATCGATTTTTCCCCCACCTTTATTTATCACCATACTGAGATGAGCCAACTGAGAGAGAGAGAGAGAGAGAGAGAGAGAGAGAGAGAGAGAGAGAGAGAGAGAGAGAGAGAGAGAGAGAGAGAGAGAGAGAGAGAGAGAGAGAGAGAGAGAGAGAGAAACTGCCGACAATAATTCCAACAGAAACTGATCAAAGAGACACAGCCAAAGTCAGATACAAACTGAAACACAACAATAGCATCACTGTACAGCAAAAACCAACAAAACTCCCCCCCCCCGTGACTTGAATGAAGGAGGGACACGGCACTGGGGACAACAGAGTGCCTGTATCAGTTGGATTGAACAGAGGGCCATCTGAACCGAGAGCCAGAAAGAAAGAAAGTGAGACTCTTGATGAAGGGGGTGAGCACTGACTTGACAGGATGGTTTTTGTCTTTTGCCGTTTCGTTAAAGGTGTGTGTGTGTATTCAAAGGTTCCATAAGTAACAAGGGACGACAAAGCAGACGTCCTAAGCATATTTAATTTGCAGGATGTTAAATGTTGCTTTAACATCCTGCAAATTAGTTTTAGCAAAGACTTTTCATTAAAGGCTCACAGAGCGGACATTGTGGCATCTCCCCCGTCAAGAAAATATTTGTCGAGAGGGGAAGGAGCTGTTGTGAACCAGAAGTAATTGAGTCTCATTGATCATTTTATTACCCAACATCCAGGCAGATTTACATTTAAAGAAAGCCTGCGTGGAGTCGTGTGCAGTAACCCTATAGGGTGATTTAATGCTCATGATGAACACATTTCAGAGTGGTCTCATGCACACAAGGACTGCGCAATCACTACCTCTGAACATCCTTCAAGCTCTTTAGGTAGTTGTGTAGTGATTTTCAGAGTTCATCTTCATGCATAGAAGTGAAAGTAGCATTTCCTAAAACAAGACTGGTTAGATTTCATAACCTATTCGACTGCATTGCAAAAGGTAGTGAAGCAGTGTCAAAAGGCATACAAGGCCTTAGGTGGATAAGAAGTTGTCTGAATTTGACATGAGTCTATGCAACATTCAGCAACATGGGACGGTTGGCTTGACTCATCCTTCAGACAAAGCGCCACTTCAATCATATCGCAGCTGTACGACATGGCTTGAACATGCAAATGTGTCTTTAAAGCGATGAATACATTGTCAGTTCAAAATAAGTCATGCTTTAAATAGTTGCTCTAGTTCTTACTATGCCAGAAAAGCCTAAAATTTGTAATTCTGAAGTTATCTTCTCTGCACGCCTTTCAATGCCGTTTTGCTCCGAAGGCCCCGACAGCAGTCTTATCTTCCCGACATGACACATATTCACCTGCTGGTCTTGCCTAATTGTTATAGATTTAGGGCTCACAGTTTGCTCAGACTGCCCTGGTGACCCAGAATCCCCTCCCAGGGGAAGGTGTGGTGGTGAAATCCACCCACAGTTGTTACACTTCAACACTACACCAATTTGTTATCGACAATAGTGTTGAGTCGGTCAATAGTCGTGAACGATTACTTTAAGTAATGAGCTCTGCGTACATTAAGAACCCGGTGCTCTGAAGACGCTGAGCAAAGCGTCTCACTGTCCAGCCGGACACAGATTCACCTGCTGGTCTCACCGGTGTCGTAAGAAGTGAGTGGACTTATGGGAAAGCAGCAGTAAACTATAAGTCCTGTTTATAAAGAGCTTTTTCAGATTGAGAAAGCCTCGGGTTCTCTGGTAGTTTGTTCCACAGGTGAGGGGAATCGAAAGCTGCCTCACCCTGCTTGGTTCTGGATCTGGGAACAGTGACTAAAAGTGTCCCAGAGCACCTGAGGAATCTCGATGCCTCATAAAAGGGACCACAATATCCGATAGAGGTATTTTAGCCCAAGACCATTTTAGTGCTTTAATCACGAGGATAATAGAGCAGAAAAACATCGGCTCTGGATGCAGGGTTGAAACACAGGAAGTAATACAGTCTTTTAAGAGAGATCATTGTCTGGTTTTGTAAAGCAAGCTGTTCCTGGTTTGACCTGCTTCAGCAGCGTGATGACGAAATGCACTTCAGGTACCACGCCCTGCAAATAACATAGAGAGTACAGAGACCTGCAACAACAGGTTGACTGGAGGAGGCCTGCATCTCACCTTGACGAAGGGGAAAGCTGCCCCTGGCTTTAGAGGCTCGCTTTCATGCTCCTGCTGATAAGCCACATACTTCTCCAGTCCTTCGTCCTCATAGATCTTCCTCTCTGCCACCATGTTGAAGAGGGTACGAGAGGAGACGGCGATGGTGACAGCATACCGGGGTTTGGGCTGCGAGTGGATAGGGAAGTGGTAAACTTGTTAAGCACTTAACATGCGACACATTGTTGCATTAAAAAAATGAAAGCAACGTAGACAGAAGCTCTAGATGAAAGTACATCTGAACTAAACTTACAGGTCTCGGTTTGTTAGTTTTGAGGTTGTCAAAAAAAGCTTTGGCTGCAGCCCAGTCCGTTTCCTCCGCGCTGTCGTCAGTCGAAGCTGCCTCGCTTAGTTTGATTTCACTCATTTTTATAGAAAAAAATAAACTTACTCAGTCAAAGGAAAAGAAAAAAAGTTGGTAGAGTGAGGAGAGAGGTGAGGAAGAAGCTGCTCAGAAACTTTACGGAAGCGTAGGCTACCTCAAGAAAACCTGGGTGGGCAGGTCCCCCCAGCAGTGACGTAAGCAGCTCTGTTACACCCCTTGAATTTGTCTGCGATGGGAACTTCAGGACTTTTCGATGAGCCGGTGCATTTTGGCTCATCTCAGAAAAAAAGAGTCAGATCTTTCAGCTTCCAACCAGTTCTCCATTAGTTCTACTTCTGGCTTTTGTAAATCAGCCAACTCTAACATTGAGCTGATTGAACGCTTACACACTTATAAATATTCAACACAATGACAACAAATTCCTTTAATTTGAACTACTTTTCAAATTTGACATTTTCCTTTTGATAAATTATGAACCCTAAAAAAAAGAGTAAAATAATCAAACAATTTTATATAGTTTATACATGACACAATAAAATGATGTTGAACTTTGTTTTATATGTTGGAAACTGGTGCAATATATCACAGTCTCACTATGCTTCACTCATGATCAAATTACCAAAAGTGACACTTTTTAGGATTCTTTATAACATATAATATATCCTACTACTCAGTCTCATATTCATTTTAAAAACAAGTAACTAATTTTAGAAAAAAAAAAAAAACATAGCGCCTTTGGTTAAATGAGTTGTACAATAGAACTGAATCGTTCGAGCGCTGCACATCGTTAGTGAGGTTTCACAAAGGCAAGTCAAAGCGAAGCAGTGCAACGTTTATATCAACACAATTAAATTCAAAGGGCTTTGAAGTGGAATAGAGGTAGGCTACATTAAAAAAGTGGAAGGCCAGTTACTGTTTCAGTATTAAAGGCCTTTTAACTTGTTTCCCAAGTTTGATGCAAACCTTAAATGCAGCAGTTTAAATGGTCCCTGTCAGTATATCATAACTGATGATTTTGGATTAATATGACTATAACATCAGCTAATTATAATGCTGAGATTTACTTTAATTTATTTTACCCTTGGAGAATGTTCTTCTCGGCTTAATTGAGATTAAATTCATTAGTCGGTATGATTAGAAATGAACCATGCCTGTTTTAAGTATGCATTAAGTTTTGTCTCAAACTGTTCTTTTTATGGCACTATTTTTGCTAATGGCTTTATCTCGTCTTGTGTGAACAGATATTAGGACAGCATTAGGGCAGTAAAAGGAAAAACTTAAATAATGCATTAAGAATAAAAAAAACTGACAAGAATAATATATCACAGTCTGTATGAGTGCTTTAGGCAATAACAGAAAGGAGAGGAGGAAGGTTTTTTTGTCATCTAGAGAATTAAGTCTGTGTTTATGAAATTCTTTCTCTTCCTTTTTTTTTGCACTGTTAGAGCATCACACTTTCTCAACTATGACCACTCATGCTGTTATGATATCTTAAACCTGCAATCCTTTGAATTGCCAGAAGAGGGTAACTCCACTTTCGATAATTTTTGTGAGCAAATATTCTAAAACTTACTTTTTTTTGGCAATGAGTTCATGGTTATTCTTTCAATTCTACTTAGTTTTACATTATTCTAATTTCCCCCTTTAAATCAAAGACCCGCTTATAGGCTATAAAGCAGGGTATGCTTTAGGGCAGAGCTACCTTTAGATAGTAAAGTTTTAAGTTGAGACTTGAAAATGTTTTTGATTCAGCCTTGCATGTATTAAATACTGTTGAATTCTGCTGAAACTTTTATATATGCTACAATTCATTCCTAGTGTTATCACAGTTAAAATGCATATGGCCAAGCCGCCCACAAAAATGGCTATATATAAGTGAATGGGCCCTGCACAGATGTTATTTAATATCATAAACTGCATGTTGGATATGCCTCCTCTATGGCTCTGATCTGCTTTTGGAGCTGACAGGGAAAAAGTTTGCTAACGGGTTACTGTTGGGGTTTAATACCATTTAGTCTCCTTTCTCTTTGGCATCCTGACTTTAATGCAGGTCCTGGCATATAAGCTAAATATAAGTTACAAAAATGGGTTCATACCATTTTAAAAAGAGGAGATTTACATTTTGAAACAGGCAACAACGAATAAAATGTGTTTCTTTGTTGTGTTCATAAGAAGTGGTGAGCACTTAGGTTAAAAAAAAAACATTGGTTATGGTTCCTTATATTTTTGGATGGACCATGTTTTACCTAATCCTTACGGGCCCCCCAATAGCCTAGGCCCCGGAAAGGCCTGTACCCTTTTCCCCCCTTATGGGCAGCCTTGCATATTGCAGCACTTCTTCTACTGAGCTGGTGTTAGCGTTAGCTGATAACTTAGCATTGGCTAATCCAACAAGATGATGAGGACCACATTATGTCAACATTAAGTCTAACATGGCCAGTTACAAACACATTTATTTTGACTCCACACGTTAATGAACCCATAGCAAGTAATCTGATTTTGAGTGCAACCAGAACCCCAACTGTGAAGCAATCCCTGCCACCCAACTGACCTCACTACTGTCCTTGTGGCTAATTGCAAATCCCTGCGGCCAGGTTTCAAATCTTGTTACAAGCCTTCCCAGAAAAACGGAAGGATGAAAGGGCAGTGAGTTGACGCCAGTTGTTTGAAAAGAAGACGCCAAACAATCACATACGGTTGTAATGCTGCTTGATTAACAACATGTTTATTTTTTGAGCTGGCATGGACATCAACATGTTATGGGTTACTTGGATGAAATCTTGCAAGGTGAGGAATAATACAAAATGTAGCCCCCCCTCCCCCCTCCCCCCACTGTTTTCTATCTGTGAAATATTTCTTGTCATGATTTTGATGTTTCCATAATAGCCTATTGCATGTAAATCCTATTCTGGACAGGCCAGATTGTTTTGTGTTTTTGTCATTGTGGTAGGTCTATGTCTTAAAAACATGCACCACGCTACAAAAATATATGATTCATGATATTAGCGTCTGGGTCATTTAGTTACTTTAGATACTAACATTATGTCAAACACATCACTTTATCAGGCAGTCATTTAAAACCTCTTTAATAATGGCTGTTGTTACATTGCCTTTAAACTTATTTTAAAAGGATCCTTGTATAATTTCATTTTATAGCCTATACTTCGTTTCTCATTTGAGTGAAACTTTGAATTGGCCTAATATCATAGCCTCTTATAGGCTCATAATTTATTTTCTCGAGGCTATCTGATCTTATTTTTCTTTCTGAATTTAGCCTTTTCAAGACTACATTTTTAATATCGCTTTAAACATTCAATCTTATCCTAAATGGTTTCCTTGTAGTGTAATTGAAATTGACACTCTTGCACAATCTCTCTCTCTCTCTCTGACACACACACACACACACACACGCACACCATCCACAGGCGCATGAATGACCTCCCTCCCTCCACCATCACACACACCCCCCCCCCCCAGCCCCCCCCCCCCCCCCCCCACACACACACACACACACACACACAGTTGGTAGAGTCCGGGACGGAGCATCATGGCGATTGACGGTAAGTGCTCGGTCTCAGGTGTACTGTCGGACTCGTGAGAAACTTTGCTCGGGACAAAACGTGAACGCTCTTAAAAAAAAATCATATTTTATTCTTTCCGAGCGAATGTGTCTCTGCGATTTAAAAAAAAAAAGAAAAAAAGAAAAAAAAGAAAACAGTTTATTGAGGCTACTTATATCAGGAGTACCGCAGTGCTCCTTAGCTGGGACAGATAACAGCTGACACCCGCACCGATGCAGGAATGTTGTGATCCCTTCATGGGAATGCACGCGTGAAGTGATTCTTTAATTGGCTCGAGATGTTTCCGCTTTGTCTCACCTTTAGATGCCGTTTCCGATATCTGTGCAAAGACGAGCGTTGTGACTGCGAAGCGATGAGTTTGAGTGTTTATTTTCTGGCAGGGACCGACAATAAGGCTATACAGTAGCTGCTACAAAGCATCACATGACTTTGTTGTGACACAGTTAGAGGTCTACATTACTGAGCGGATGAATATTGCGTCATATTAACGAATATTAAAACGCTGAAATGTGACTCTGCTGCCCGTTAATTTTTTTTTTTTTTTATAGATGCACGTTGTGATAACACTGCCTCTAATGTTCATGGGTAATGTGTTCAGCCTGTCTCAAAGCCTGGGCTACATAACGTAGGATCAGTGGCCGGGAACTCATTACCGGATAAAGACATAAGGAGGCGCGTGCCTTTTGCTCCGTTGTCCCGTCACAGTTCTTCTCGTGTCACGTGCAGCCATGCGTGCAGAGGTGTCTATTGATACTCTGTGAAGACGAGAGAGGTGCTGTACGATTTATCAGCATTGTCCTGTCATAATAAGGACCAGTGGAATAGGACATGGACCTGAGTTCAGTTCAGTTCAGACCTTTAAGGGAGGGGAAATTTGATTTACAGCTGTGTGTAAAAAAAAACACAACAAATAATAAGACATATAGGACAACATTCATTCATGAACGAATCTCTGAATTTCTTGCTGTAATCTCTTAAGTTAATACAAGTTGTTGAATTTGAATTTTGACCCTTTAGAATCAGAATCAGATTTATTGGCCAGGTATGCTAACACACACAAGGAATTTAATTTCGGTGAGCTGTGCTCTCTTATGTACAGGTACAACATTAAATATCAACAGTAGTTACAATACAATATAACATAATAAGAAAAGACTAATATTTACATGACTAAACATGAAACAGTGCAGTGGTGCATCGTGCAAGAGATGCTGAAGTAACATGATAAGTGAAGGGAAGTCTTGGAATCAAGTTTATCTCTTTTCATTTTTTTTTTACATCAACTCTTTGTTTGACCTTCAGTTTGCAAAAAATAATCAATGGATTTTGAAGGCTTTTCTTCCTTTCATTAAGACATGGTGGAAATGTTTCTTTCATGTTCACCTTGGTGCACCTGGGATTCTTTGGGATTCATTTTGCAACTTCAACTTCAGCTTGATGTGGTCGCTTTAATGTGATGTGCACACCTGAAATTACATTTCG